TTCCGAGTTGATAATTCGCGAGACTCATATCAAACTTTGTCATGCCGGAAGTCAGGCGACCTTGTATGCAATTAGAGAAAATTATTGGCTGGTAAACGGAAAAAACCGCGTCAAAGAAATAATCCGAAAATGTGCAGTGTGTTCTCGTTGGCGCCCCTTGACTCCTGAGTATCAAATGGGCGATTTGCCTAGAGTTAGATTTGCAGGCTCGAGACCTTTTGAAAGTGTTGGTATTGATTTCTGCGGCCCATTCTTTATTAAGGAGAAAAAGCATCGTAACCGTAATAAAATTAAGATTTACGTTGCCGTGTTTGTGTGCTTGGCTGTCAAGGCTGTTCATCTAGAAATTGTTAGCGATCTGACCACCGAGGCTTTTATAGCCTGTCTAAAACGTTTTTTCGCACGCCGTGGCAGAGCTCGAGTGATCCAATCGGATAATGGCACAAATTTTCTGGGCACAAGCAATCACTTAAGGTAGTTGTATCGCGACAGTATTAGTCAAAAATAATGGTCACACTGCATACGATAATGTACGGAAAACTACTTATCTATGTAAAACTTTTGACTAAACTGTACCATTTTCAACCAATCCTGTATGGTCTTACCAATCTGGCAACACTGTATGCTCGCGACTCGCGTCAGTAATGTCAGTATACCATTGAGGTTAGCTCGCGATGCTCGCGTTATTGAGATTATTGAGGTTATGCTATTGAGGTTATTTTGAATTAGAAGAAATATAAGCGAAAATGTCTGTTGTACGTTACAAAGGAAGATTAATGAAAGAAAAAGTATTGAAGAAAAGACTTAAAGCTTTAGCGGCAATGTCTGAAGCAAAGAAAAAGAAAAAGTCCTGTCAAGAAGACAATCATTTATGTGTTGGAAGACGTATTGTAGAAGTGTCCGAGCTTGCCAAAAATCTAACTTGCTGTTACTGTGAAAAAGATCTTTCACTTAAAAATGTAGTAAACGAAAGACGACTTGGTTTAAATTCAATTTTAAAAGTACGTTGTCGGGATTGTTCTACATTTACAGATGTTGCTACAGGAAAAATTCATACATCAAAGGATAACTCTAAACACAGTGATGTAAACACAAAAATTGTATTAGGTAAGTTATAGTCAATACATTTTTTCCATTCGCAAACATTGTATCTATGTAATTTTTATTAATTATTACATAATTTATCAAAATTAATATGTTGATTTAAACTTCTAACTTATAAATGACAGGAGCTGTACACGCTGGAGTTGGGTGCTCGGGTATAAATAAAATACTGGCTTGTATGAATATACCATCTATAACACCAAATTTATTCAAAAGATATGAACGAGAAGTTGGACCTGCAATAGAAGAAGCTGCTAAAGAGAGTTGCAAGCAGGCTGCAAAAGAGGAACGACGATTAATTGTAGAAAATGTTGAAAAGCTCTGTCAAGAACTGTAAGATTTTGTTCTTTCATTTTTATTTTGAAT